AACCCGCCACCTTAGGTGTACGTGGCTGGCGCCTTAGCCGGTTGAGCTATAGGCGCCGAGCCCCTCGTTTTCTATTCTTTAGTAGAGATGGGGTCTCGCTCTTGCTCAGGCTGGTCTCGAACTCCTGAACTTGAGCAGTCCTCCTACCTGGGCTTCCCACAGTGCTGTCATTTTAAAATCTCACCAGCCTCGTTTTTGACAGGATGTCCCTAAAGTCACCATACACAGCGGAAATGGGAAATTATAGTTAAATGTACCTTAATTTCCAAAACACTCCTTACAGATTTTACAGAGAGGTAGCCCACTCATAGGGAATATTTTGTAAATATTTTATGTAATTTTACAAAGAGGTAGCCGACACACGGAGAATATTCTGTCAATATTTTGTAAAATTTTGTAATGAATATTTTATAAATAAAAGTACATTTAACTACAATTTCCCATTTCCCCGATGTACGGCAACCTTAGAGACAACTTTCGGGACACCCTGTACGTTTACAAGTATTCACGGTTGCTAAATTGACTACCTTGATGAATCTTTTTCTAGAAACTTGGGCATACACTCTTTTTCTCACAAAACTGTGAAAATGATGCACATACTCTGAGGCTTGTTTCCCCCAGCGGTTGGGTCCATTGGCCGGCTTCCCTGTGTTAACACAGGGGTTGGATTGTTGAAGTGCTCACCTAGTGTGAACGGTTACTGACTCCAGTCTTAGGCTTCAGAGGCTGCAGCAGCAGCCAGAGCAGATGAGCTGAGGGCTTCTTCCTGCAGGAGCTCCCACGGGGGGTGGGGGGTGAATGTCACCTTCTTCCACAATAGCATGTTATCAAGTGCTTGAAATACTTACATCTGTGATGTATGGATGGCCGTGAAATCATTTACAATTGTATTTCTGACAGCCTTACTGCAGTTCTTAATTTGTTTACATAAGTAAAATTCAGCCTGAGGACACTTTTTTGTTTGGTTTTGGGTTAACAAAAAATGTTCTGAATGATAGGTACAGAAGCATTTTTCCTAAAGGAAGGCTTTTTTGTCTTGGGAATCTCTGGTTCTATACTCCATTAGTTACACAATAGGAAATGTCTGTGATTATTTCCTGTTTTCCAGCCAGCCATGCCCCATAAATCAGTAAATTCTCAGATTATTTACAAAAAGCAGTTAAGACCAGATATATCCTGGCATTTTAAAAGCACAGACAAATAAGAGATTCTCTTATCTATTTAATAGCGTGTTGGCAAGGAGGTCTGCTTTCATGCACAGAATCCCTTAAGCTAAAGGAGTGAGCTATATAGGCTTACTATTAAGGGCCCCCTAGTCCCTTTCAGTACTTTCAGACCTGCTTTATTATTTTAATAACTAAATTTTTTTTTTTTTTTTTT